TTCCCACTCTAGAAACGTGCTTACAAGAGCTATGTTCGAGCTCTCCCTCTGCTGAAGAAAATGGGCATCAATTCCATTCTCCTCCGAAAAAGCATTGGTGCCCTTGAAGTAGCCTGTGGCATTGTCATGACCCTTGTGCCTGGGCGTCCCAAAGATGTGGCCAACTTCTTCCTACTCTTGTTGGTGTTGGCTGTGCTCTTCTTTCACCAGCTGGTTGGTGATCCTCTCAAACGCTATGCCCATGCTCTGGTGTTTGGAATTCTGCTCACTTGCCGCCTGCTGATTGCCCGCAAGCCTGAAGATCGGTCTTCTGAGAAGAAGCCCTTGCCTGAGAATGCTGAGGAGCAACCCTCCTTATATGAAAAGGCCCCTCAGGGCAAAGTGAAGGTGTCATAGGAGAGTGGAAGTGCAAAAAGTGGACCTTCCAGGCAGTTGCCTCCATGACACCCAGGAAGATGTCAGTGTGTATTTTTCATTTGATTTATTTATCTTGGGGAAAATGGAAAATATAATCTGCAAGTTAATTGGCTTGTGTACATTGTACTCTAAAATGACCTCCCCACATTGACATTTGTGCACCACCTGTAATCACTCTGGGGCAATGCTCACATCTTGCTGCATGTACATGTATACGGCTACTATTGAAGTGTATTTGTGAGATGGACTCCAGCAAGCATGTGACTGTGAGATTATGTGTGGGGAAATATATTGAACTACTGTGTGTGTACACACACACACATGTGGAGAAGGCTCTGATCTTGAACTAATCCTGCACAGGTATCCTTCCCTTTATAAATTGATTCCAGTAAAGATAGAATAAAAAATTTCCTAAAAAGAGAATTCCATTTTTGGTATAAAACAAGTGACCTATTCCCTGGTGGGGATGGTATGTTCTCTAGATAAAGCTGAAAACTTAAACTCACCACTTTGGGAAAAATTCCTTTAATTTGAAACACTGAGTTATGTGTAAAATTAATTAATTAGCCTTTGCTTCAATAGTTAATTTTTAAATACTTCATATTGAGTTTAATTAAAACAAAGGATACATGCAGTCAATTGATGGTCTATTCTTCAAGTGATAAAATAGGACGTTTCATCTTGCCTTTGTTCAAGCCCAACCTACTAAGTTCTTTTACTAACATTTAAAAACTGAAACAGTAATCTTGTTACTAGACATCTTCTTCAGATTTTCTTAAGTTCACAGCTGCCTCACTTCCACTATTCTTAGTAGCTAACCAGGATTTGGCAGCTGCTCCACTGTTGTGGTTGAGGGAGCAGGCATTGGTCTTGTTAGAAATCGGAATCTCAAACATTAGCTATTCTCTGAAACTGTCTCTGAAAATTGACAGAGAAGCTGTATCCTGTTTCCCTGCCAAACAGATTTACTACCCCTATTGATTCTTCACTGAACTTTGCCAGTGTAAGCAGAGTTCAAATCACCCCCAGAGTTGTCTCCCCTACACTTCTTTATCATTCCAGTAGGTGGAGTTTAGCTGGGGGAAGGACATTTGACATGGGTTAGTTGGATTGAGCAGTATGGAAATTTGCTTCCTTCATCACATACTGCTGTTTCTCCTTGTTAAATGTGCTTTGATGGTTTTAGTATTATTGTGCCAGGGATGGGAAAAGGGGTGGGGGGTTGTGTGTGGGGAGAGTACCTATTGTATTTTATTCAGTGTCATTGTTCTTGGTAATTGATACCTCTGTCTTATTTCTCTCATTCTTTCAAAATAAAAAAAAAATTTGAAATTTGGAGGAAATTGTCTGGATAAACACTGAACATATGAAAAGAAAGGGTATTTAAAAGGATTCAGGCTTTTGTTGATGTTGTTTTTGGTCTGAATGAAGGAGGAGAAGAAAGAGAAAGTATAAGTATGATCACTTAATACACTAATGAAGTTGCCAAGGCCAGTTTGCTAATTCCTTATAAGTTCCCTTGAAACATTTTTTTTTTTTTTGGCAGTACTGGGGATTCAACCCAGGGCCTTGCACATGCTAGGCAAGCACTCTACTACTGAGTTACACCCCCAGCCTTTTCTATTTTATTTTCAGACTGGATCTTGCTAAGTTGCCCAGGCTGGTTTCAAACTTGGGATTCTCCTGCCTCAGCCTCCTAAGTACCTGGTCCCTCACACTTTTTTTTGAATGCATGTAAGACAGAAAGTTGTAGTTAGGATCTCAATACAATTTCCAGGTTTGGGAGTTCTTTATTAGTTGATGCCAAGGGAAGGTAAATTATTTCAGAGAAAATTGAAGGTTTATTAAATAAATATGAAGTACTGTCTCACTATGTACATGTCCATAGAGAGGTTTAAGTTTTGCAGTGCCCAGAATTTGACATGTTAGGCAAGTTATTTCATTGCTTATGGCACCAGTTTCATGGGCTTAAAAAAAAGGAAAAAGGTTGCTGGTCATGGTGGTGCACACCTGTAATTCCAGTGATTCAGGAGGATGAGTCAGGAGGATTGAAAGTTCAAGTAGTCTGGGTAATTTAGCAAGACTTTACCTCAAAATAAAAAGTAAAAAGGGTTGGGATGTAGCTTAGTGGGAGAGTACCCCTGGATTCAATCCCCAATACTGCAAATAAATAAATAGGTGTCAAAGTCTTAAAATCCCTTCCAATGTACCTTTATTTGAGGCTATGAAATGATTAAATGCATGAAAAATGACAAAATTTCAGTTTTACTAAAGAGTAGCTATCATAGAAAAATTGCACAGTCTATTTTCATGCACGATTAAATAAGAGTTTGTCAAATTACTCTGAAAACCACATAAAAATAAGATGTGGTAAATAGTCATTTCTTTTTTCCTTTTATGGAGGGGCAGGGATTGAACTCATGGGCACTTGAGTACTGAGCCACATCCCCAGCCCTTTTTGTATTTTATTTAGAGACAGGGTCTCACTGAGTTGCTTAGTGCCTCGCTGTTGTTGAGGCTGGCTTTGAACTTGCCATCCTCCTGCCTCAGCCTCCCTACCGATGGGATTATAGGCATGCACCACCACTCCCAGACATAAGTAGTCATTTCTGCTGAAGTCTTCTCCAAATACATTATCTTAACTTTTGATTATTCATTTTTCTCTAAGATTGCAAAGTTTCCACCTACATTATGTTTTGGCCTCAAATCAGGGAGTGCCATTACATTTATAGCTTTCCTCTATTTAAAAAAAATTTTCATTTATTTATTTTTTGTACCAGGAATTGAACCTAGGGGCACTTAACCACTGAGCCATATCCTCAACCCTTTTTATATTTTATTTAGAAACGGACTCTCACTGAGTTGCTTAGGGCCTCAGCTAAGTTGCTGAGGCTGGCTTTGATTACAGGCATGCATGCCATGACCAGCTTATTTATATAAAGGCACTGGGGATTGAACCCAGGTTCTGAACTCCCCCCCAACGCCACCCACGTGGCCTTCTCCGGGACACACCACACACCAACCGGAACTCCCTCCACAGGAACTTCACCAACCAACACGAACTCCCCAGGAATCCCCTTGAGAACTCTAAAGTAGCGGGCTCCCAAGGTGGACACAGGGGTCTATATACAATTGAATACACAGCCTGTTTCAATCCAGCATCATCCAGTCACAGCAATTATAGACAGCTTAACTTAATTATCATCATCTTAATGGCTCGCCTCTCAACCATTACTTCTGGCAAAATGCCAGGGGCCATTCCCACTCGGCTGTGGCTCTTAGCACCCAGGTGCACTTTACCACTGGGCTACAACCCCAGACCCCCTTTTTTGGTAGTGGGGATTAAACCCAGGGTGCACTTAATCACTAAATTACACCCCCAACCCCCTTTATTTTTATTTTGAGACAGGGTCTCATTAAATTGCTGAGTCTGGCCTCCAACTTGCAATTCTCCTGCTTCAGGCTCCCTAGTTCATAGGGTTACAGGTGTGCACCACCACACCTGGCAACCCGAGACTTTAAAAAAAAGCATCTATTTATTTTCCATACCAGGGATCAAACCTAGGGGTGTTTTACCACTGAGCTACATCCCCAGCTCTTTAGTTTTTATTTTGAGACTGGGTCTTCCTAAGTTTCTTAGGGCTTCTGCTAAATTTCCCAGGTTGGCCTCTAACTTCTGATCCTCCTGCCTCAGCTTCAGCAGTCGCTAGGCATACAGGCTACAAGGGTGGAGCATTGCTCTAGTCTTTTTTTTTTTTTTAGATAGGGTCTGGTTTAGTTGCTGAGAATGGACTTAAACTTGCCATTTTCCTGCCTTAGCTTCCCCAGTTGCTGGCCTAACAGTTATGCACTACCACACCAGGTTTATAGTTCTCTTATTCCTAGTTTAAAAAGAAATTAAATCAGGTCTCAGACTAAGCCATTGTTAATATTTTAGCGAGTTTAAGGTCAATGGATTCTTCAAGGTTAGGCATATACTTGCTACAGCCCACAATCTGCAATCTTGAAGGTGGTTCAACATCTGGTTTAGGATACAAGTTTCCAGAAAACGTGGGAGGTTATCCATACCTATCCTAGGTAAAAGGAGGGCAGAACGTCGTTCTTTCCTCCCAGCCCCCTAGTTTCAGGAGGAGAGCGACTGGAAACTTTAAATCTCAGCATGGGAGAAGCCGCCTTTACAGTGAAGTTTGCGGTTTCACATTTTCCTACAGATTCAAATTGATATTTGGGGTCAATCTGGGCAAAATAAACACTATAATCGATCATGTTAAATTTAACAATCTTGACACCAGTTACCGGTTCTACGCAAAATGACGAAACGCGAACATTATTAGAAAAGTGAGAACACCAGCCAATGAGCTAACTCCAGCAACAACGGCCCACTCGCTGGGCTCACCCGGCTTAGGTAGGTGGGGCAAACCGCTCTGGGTAATTGGGTCTGCGTCATTGTCTGCGCGCGCCGACTCCCGCCATAGAGCTGTATTCCAACCAATCAGGCTCCAGCAGAGCACGTCACTCTGCCCAGTCGCCGCCCGTATCTCCACGACAGCGCATGCGCGGGGCGCGGCCCGCGCCTTTGAATCCAGAAGGCGGCTTTCAGACTCCAGAGCCTGGGGGCTGAGGAGTGTTTCAGGTGAGGAACTTTTAAACACCGTACGAAATGGAACCTCTGAGAGCGAGGGGACTATTCCAGCCTCTGAGGGCGGTACTGCACTGTGAAGGATAACTGGGATAGAGTTTTCTTCCCACTCAGGAATTTGCCTAATGGGTGTTGACTTTGTTGGCTCTCTGCTTTGGCAGGTTGTGAGAGTGAGTGATCCTTGGCAAGCACTGGAACGGTTCACTCCATGGGGTCAGAAGCTGCTTCCCTGCTTACTTTCTTAGGACTCTAGGAAACAACTCCAAGTTGGACAGTTCCATTGGATTGGACATATTTGTTACTCTACTGTTTTGGCATCTGTTCTAGGTAGGTGGGATTGAGTAAGCGTCATTACAATCATTCTCTTACTTTTCCCTATTTGAAGCCAAAAATTTAGAATTCATTCTTGGTTTTCCTCTTTCTTTTTCTTACATCTCATTCTTTAGTCACAGCCTGTCCAATCTACCTTCACAACATATACTGAATCAAGTCTTTTTCCATCATCTTCTGGACTTCTGCAAGATCCTTTAAGTGGTCTCTTGCCGCTCTTTGACCCCTAACATTTTAGTCTCCATACTGCAGATAAAATGGTCTTAAAACACAAATTGGATATTGCTCCCTCCTCTGACCACCTCCGTCCTCCTCTCCCTGTGGGAAAATCCAAACTCCTTATCGCTGGCCTACAAGACCCAGTATACTCCCTGGCTGCCTTTCTGACTCTCACCACCCTTTGCCTCTTTGCACTCTCACCATACTGGTGTTGCTGCCGTTTCATTAATATACAAAACACTTTCTTGCTTTAAGGTCTTAGTATGTTTTCCTTTTCCCTCCGTATAAACTCTTCTTTCACTAGATGTTTACATGGTAGGTTCCTTGACACCCAAATATCAGCTTAAAGGTCACCTCAGAAGGGCTTTCTCTGAACACTTATTTCAAAGTAGATTCCCACCCCACGCTATTTCTATCACATCCCTGTATATTCGTTATTATTTGTTATTGGTTGATTCTTACTTTTCCCCAGCCTCTCACTCCAGTGTAAGTTTCATGAATGTAGGGACCTTGATTGTTTTATCCCTGGTGGTAGAATTATGCTTGGCATATAGACAGTGTTCAGTAATTACTTTCTGAATACATGCATTAATAAGTGGAGAATGTTTCTGTCTTGAGAATGTTTAGTCTGCCTCCCAGTTTGGCTTTTTAACTACGCAGTTTTAACTGAGCACTGACAAAGTAGGGAACATAATGATTAAAAGCAAAATCAAGGAGGAATACAGAAAATAGGAGTGGAGAAAGTAGAGTACATGAGGTTTATTAGTTTTGGACTTGCTTATATGATATAGCCATTCTAAGAGGGCACTTAAATTTCACAGCTGATAAATGTTACCTTCTCCAGTTGTTAGTTTCTCTTTAGGTCAAGGTAAGCTTTTTGAAAAAGTTAACCTGTAGGTTTTATTTTCTAGATTATTGTCAACTTATTTATTGAATGCCTTTTATGTGCCAGGTACTAAGTACTAAATGTGGGAATATAGGTAGATGTGACCCCTGTCTTTTTGGGGAAAAAAGGTATTGTTTGGCTGACTAATGATAACTTGACACTTGTTTCTCTATAGAACATATGCAATAATGTCACCTCAAAAGAGAGTCAAGAATTCCCAGGCACAAAATAGGACTTCACAAGTTAGTAATAGTTGTCAGACCAAGCTCTCAGCTTGGAAAGCAAAACCAAGCAACTCAAAGAGCATCTTGAAACAAAACAACACAGTGGAAGATTGTGAACATGGTGATGATCAAGCTGAAGATGCTCTGCAAATAACATTGGAATACTTTGAAAAAGGTAAAGACAGATCATTTCCTTATGAAAGTCCTATTTTGATAAAAATACTTTTTTTTTTTTTTTTTAGTTTTTTCAGCGGACACAACATCTTTGTTTGTATGTGGTGCTGAGGATCGAACCGCGGGCCGCACGCATGCCAGACAAGTGCGCTACCGCTTGAGCCACATCCCCAGTCCTAAAAATACTTATTTTTTTCTTAAGATTTTTTTAAAGGAAAACATGTTTTTTTTTCTCATTTATGCTTTTGTTTATTTACATTTGTTGAACATTTACTATACATCAGTGTTCTAGGTATTATTATGGACACATAATGAAACATCTTTCCCAGTGGAGTGGTTTCCAAACTGCTGTACATTGTGATCACCTGAGAAATTTAAAATATATTGATGCCTAGCATCCACACTTAGACATTCTGATTTTTTAAAAATATTTTTTAGTTGTCAATGGATCTTTTACTTGTTTATATGCACTGCTGAGGATCAAACCCAGGGCCTCACACATGCCAGGCAAGTATTCTACCACTGAGCCACAACTCTAGCCCTTAGACATTCTGATTTTATTGGTGTAAGATGCAACCTGGCATTAGGACTTCTTTTATTTTTTGTGGGACTGGGGATTGAACCCATGGTCTTATGCATGGGAGGGAAGCACTCTACCAACTGATCTATATCCCCAACCTGCATTAGGGCTTCTTAAAGGCTTCCTAGGTGATTCCAAAATATAGTAAATTTTGAGAACCATTGTCCTAGTGTTCAAAGAGACTATAGTCTAAGTTGAGTGCTTCTAGTTAATTTATAGCAAGGGTGCCAGAACATGATTCAGTTTTTCTCACTGAAAGTACTGTTGCTGTTAAATATTTTAGACTTTTAAAGGCTTTCAAGGGTGGGAATTTTTTTTTTTTTTTTTTTTTTTTAGGTAAAGCCATTCCTTTAGTGCATGCCGAGTTATAATTGTTGGGGTTAAGGACTGAAAAAAATTTAAAGGGCTTATTATTTAATTATTCTTTTCTTAAGGTCCTATTAAAACTTCACGAAGTAAAAATAAAATCTTGGAAAAACACTTGAAAACTGTGGAGAATATGGCTTGGAAGAATGGGTTAGCTCCAGACGCAATTGACATTCTATTAAATGCAGCACTCAGTGGCAAATTTGGTATGTCAAGTGGATACATTTGTCATGTGTTTGCTATTGGTTTTGCCTTTCAGACTTTGAATTAGATTGTTCATTGGAATCAGTTGCAGTTCTTTATTTTGCTATTCTCTTAAGATTAATCTGGTAAGATTATAAAATAGCCTTTCTTGTGTTCAGAGTACTTTATGAGCCCCAAATTTTTGTTTGTGTATTGCTGAAATGACCAATTATCACCTCTTTACAAATTAAACGTGGAGTCTTGTCACCAAACATGGAATCATTTTTAGTTTTTTTTTCTTTTTTTGATTAAGCATAGATAATATTTTATTTATTTTTTGAAAATATTTTAAATAATGTTTCTGCAAGGAATTTTAGAGATCACTTAGTCTATTTCATTGCTTTTAGGTTTACTTATCTATGACAAGTTTCTATTTGCACTACTTTCATTCTAGTGTCTGTGACCTTAACAGTCAAAATGCTTTTTCTTTTGTGTAAATGTTTCTTTTTCTGTTCTCAGATTATTGATTGGTGGATTGGGTAGGAGAGGTTCTTAGAAATAACACCTGGTCAATATTATTTTTACTTGAAAAGATTTCTTTCAACCTTCACTCATCTAAATTCAGAATTGCAAGGTATTTTAGTCCCTAAACATACCCATTTTAAAGAGGAGGAAATATTCCTAGAATAATTAGAGACTTTCCTTTTTTTTTTTCTTTTGGTACCGGGGGTTGATCTCAGGGGCACTCCACCACTGAGCCACATCCCCAGCCCTATTTTGTATTTTATTTAGAGACAGGGTCTCACTGAGTTACTTAGCACCTGGCTTTTGCTGAGGCTGGCTGTGAACTCGTGATCTTCTTGCCTCAGCCTCTCGAGCTGCTGAGGTTACAGGCATGTGCCACTGCACCTGGCAAAACTTTCTTTTTTTTTTTTTTTCTAAGTTTTTTTTTTAATTGTAAATGGACACAAAATCTTTATTTTACTTATGTATTTTTATGTGGTGCTGAAAATCGAACTCAGTGCCTCATGCATGCGAGGCAAGCGCTCTACCACTGAGCTACAATCCCAGCCCAAGACTTTTCTTATTGTCAGAGCAAAAACTGGGGAAATTAGATCTCCTATTGCACTTATACTGTACTACATGGCTAATGCTTTTTTTCCTACTTAAAAAAACAAACTAATACATTCATCAATACTGAATTCATTTAATACTAAGTATTTCTTGACCCTGTGTATTAGCTTCCTTTGAGTATACTGGAGCATCCAATTTACAAGTGTGTGTGTGTGTGTGTGTGTGTTTTAAAGTAACAACACTGTACTAACTAAATTCAATCTGTGACTCAAGTATTTTTTTTCCTCTTTTACCTGATAAGTTCTGTGTGTTTTCTTAGAAAATTAAGTTAGACCTAATAAAACTGACTTTTATTCTTGTAGGTAATGGTTTCAAATTGTTTGGTTCTAATACCTTTCCAGGAGTCCATGTTGATTAGTGTCTATCAAGATCAATTTTACCACTCAATTATCCCATTAAAAGATGTATAGAATGTACATTTTTTATATTTTGGAATTTAGTGATATTAATGGTTAGGGAGTTTTCATGTTATATGCCATTGTGTTTCAAAAGGCATGTCTCAGGCTCTGGAAACTTGTACATAACAATTTAAAGTGAAACACTCTGCCTCTCTGTTTTCATTTTTCTGTTGGGCTGGAATTTATCGAGGTTGAATATGACCTCCTTAATTCCTTTTCCCTTTTAGTTAGTTCTATGATACCTCTCCATCTGTACTAGATCTTTATATATAGCTCTTTTGGGAAATTGAAATGCATATTTAGATGCATATTTAGGGGACAATTATACTAGAAATATCATTATAATTAGGTGCAAAGGGACTTTAGATCCTGAGAAATTAAAAAGTCACTGGAAGTAAAAATAAAGGTAGTATTGAGTTCCTTCTTTGATTTGGTATATGTGTAAGGTGTTAATGGTGAGACTGTTTAAAAATTTAAAAAGGTTAGTGAACGGGAGTGGGAAAGGAAAAAAATATAAAAACAAGAAACCTCAGAGTGGAAAGCAGGGATTTTTATTCTTGTGATTTTTTTTTTAACTTGCCATCACTGCTTTCTTTCTTCTCCACAGGGTGATGGGGTAGAAATTGATGACATATATTTTAATTATTGAAGCTTATTGAATAGAAGTTAGAATAAAGAGTATACAAAGCCAGTGTCTGTAACATCATTTCTGTTACCAGATGAGAGAATACCATGGAGGCCAGAAGGCAAGATGGAAAGATTAGAGTAGGATAAAATAATATCACCTCCAGCTAATTCCAAGAAGATCTGTTTCATTCGGCTATCCTTCCCCGTTTTATGGAGCAGTGGAGGCTACAAATTTATTTATTTATTCTTAACTGTAGCATCTCATGCAACATGTCTACTAGTCTGAAACCAGTCTATTTTGCCATTAAAAATAAGAAAAATTTGATATTTCCCTGTGATTATAGACTTTTAAAAAAATATTTTTTAGTTTAATTGCCAATGGATTTTTAACTTTGTTTATTTTATGTGATGCTGGGGATTGAACCCCATGCTTCATGCATGCTAGGCAAGCGCTCTACCACTGAGCCACAACCCCAGCCCTGATTAAAGACTTTTTTAAGATATAATTTACATACCATAAAATTCATGCATTTGAAAGTTCAGTGTTTTAGCGTATTCCCAGAGTTGTGCTATTGTTACCACTGTGTAATTCCCAAATATTTTCATCACTTCAAAAAACAAAACTTGTGTTCATCCTCCCCTTTAAAATAGAAATATATGGGCCAAATAATTTGCTTCATATTTTATTTCAGGATCTGAAAGTACAATTTTGTTTTGACTAGTGTTTTATAATGATGATAAGAGGTACTAAATGTTATATAGTGTGTTGGTTTTTATTGCCTTAAAGGTAAAGTATTATTTGTATGACCAATAGTGAAGAATAGTAAGTAAACAACTGAGATACTAAAACATAGTTTAATTTCAAGTTTGTTGTCCAGGGAATGCTGTAAATACTCGGATACTGAAGTGCCTGATTCCAGCAACTCTAATATCAGAACATTCTGTGGTTAAGGCAGTCTCCTGGCTCTGTGTTGGCAAGTGTTCTGGTAGCACCAAGGTAATCTTTTTAAACACTTTGATGGTAAGTCCTTCAGAACCACTTAAGGGCTAGTGAGGAAGAGCCACTTATGAAGTAATGGCCGTGGTCTTTTGTGTAAAGCCTGTAGTTTTGGAACAGTATAGCTTGATACGAGGACTCTGTTCGAACAGAAATTTTTACTGAAAAATAAAATCTATTATTGTACTTTGTGATACAAGCGTCTAAAACAGCCCTGAGGGGGAAATTAAGCTCTTCTATGCCCGTTAGTTGTATTTTTCTAAAGATAAGTTTTTTGACTCTCGATAGGTACTTTTTTATCGATGGCTGGTTGCAATGTTTGACTTCATTGATAATAAGGAGCAAATTAACTTGCTTTATGGCTTCTTTTTCGCTTCATTGCAAGATGATGCACTGGTAAGTAAACACTGGATGCATCTAGCATCAATCAAATAGTACATGGATGTGAATTGATGCACCATATATGCTTCAGGGTGCTACAATGTGCTTTTCTGTATTTATTTAAAAATATATCAAATATACAGAAATTAGAGAATAACATAACAGCACTTCACTTTCTCTCAGATTAATTATTGCCATATTTGGTCTATATCATCTTTTAGGGAAATAAAAATATTACAGATTGAGTTGATTCCACATTGCAGTTTCTTTGCTGGTCTATAGCAGTGATTACCATTTTTTTCTCTCTTAAACCACTTAAGCAAACTCCATTGGGTCACTTACTCTACATTTTCTTGATTAACACTGCAAAAATTTCATCACAATTAATGATAAGGAGAGGATTACTTTTCATGAGTTGCCAATGGACTGATTATGATTAAATGACATAATTATTCCCATTAAAAACATTAATAACTCTAAGAAATCAATCTACTGTCCACCTGGAAGACTTTCAAGGATCGTTAGTAGTGAGTGACACATCTAGCTGAATTTTTCCTATAAGAAAGGAATTCTTTCACTAATTTCATTTTTAAAAATTCATGTTTCAGGGGGCCGGGGATGTGGTTCAGTGGTAAAGTGCTTGCCTAGCATGTGTGAAGCACTGAGTTCAATCCCCACCACCACCAAAAAAAAAAAAAAAAAAAAAAAAAAAAAAGATCATGTTTCATCCAGGCATGGTAGTATGCTCTTGTAATCCCAGCTACTTGGGAGGTTGGGGCAGGAGGATAGCTAGATCAAGGACAACCTGGACAACTTAGTGGGACCCTGTCTTAAAAATAAAAAAAGGCCAAAGGGATGAGATTGTAACTCACTGGTAAAGTGCTTGCTTAGCAGTCACAAGGTCCTGGGATCAATCCCTGTACTACGCTGCCCTCCCCCCCCAAAAGTTGTTTCTGTTGTGTTTTTTGTATTGTACTAGGCAAAAGTAGAAGATTCAGGCTTTAGCACAGAGTTTCTGTACTCCAAGAATTTAAAGTTTAATTGGGGAATTAAGGAAAGCATATGAGGTTAAATAACTTGAGGGTGAAATTATCAAAGACAATGTATGGTAGTGTGAGGATAGTACTTCCAAGAAGGAATAGAACACTGTAAATCAGAGGGATTAGAAAAAACTTCATAAAGTATGTAGGTGTTTGAGCTGGGCCTTGAAGGTAGAATAGAATTTGGGATTTGATGAGAGAAAAAATATTTGATATAATGGGAATATTTCAAGCAAATTTCAAGATGTGTATTTTAGGTAATGATGACTAGAAAAACATGTTCAGTACAAACCCATTTTTTTCTAAGTATTTTTTATCTGTAGTTGGTTGAATCTGTTGATGTAATCTGCAGATAGAGGCTGACTGTAGCTGTTTATGGAAATGAGAATGAAAGTTGACTATGGACAGTTTGGAAGGTCCAGATGAAGTTAGAGAACATGAATTTGGGACCTTACAAATATGCAAGAGGGGCAGGCGGGGTGGTACATGTCTGTAATCTCAGTGACTCAGGAGGCTGAGGCAGGAGGATCACAAGTTCAAGGCCAGCCTTGGCAACTTAGTGAGGCCGTAAGTAATTTAGTGAGACCCTATCTCAAAATAAAAAGTAAAAAAGACTGGGAATGTGGCTTAAGGGTTAAGCTCTGGGTTCAATCCTTGGTACAAAAAAAGAAAAAATACCCAAACACCAAATACACAAAAGAGTGGTTTCTCCAGAGTTATGACAAAGGTACAAGAGAGTGATTAAACTTCTGGACCATGGAGTGAAAAGGGAAGAAAGTGAAGACAAAAGAGTGTAGATCTGGAGCACATACAGCTTAGATTCAGGATGCCGTGATGACATTCAAGAAACATTGAGATTAAAAAGTGGACTGAGGGCTGGGGATGTGGCTCAAGTGGTAGAGCGCTTGCCTGGCATGCGTGTGGCCCGGGTTCGATCCTCAGCACCACATACAAACAAAGATGTTGTGTCCGCCCAAAACTAAAAAATAAATATTAAAAATTCTCTCTCTCTCTCTCACCTCTCTCTTTAAAAAAAAAATTTAAAAAAATAAAAAAAGTGGACTGATAACAAGTTATAGCACTGAAGTTTAAGATTTCAGGAGGGGATGATTCAATGTAATGGCAAGGTTCTGAGAGACTATCAGGTGATTTGTTGAAGTACAGTGAGGAAATGAACATTATTAGAGTAGATATTTTCTATATCCTTATGGATTTTTTGTTGTTGCTGCCCATCCGTCAATTACTGAGAGGTATGTTGAAAATCAGCTATGAAGGCAGATTTGTCAGTCTTCCTTTCAAATTCTCTCAATTTTTGTTCTCTGTATATTTTGTGTGTATTATTAGATATATGCACAATTTTATATATATATATACACACACACACACACACATATATGTATGTATATATGTGTATATATATATATAATTGTGCATATACCTAATACACACAAAATATATATAGAACATATATATGTATGTATATATGTGTATATATGTGTATGTGTATATGTGTGTGTGTGTGTGTATGTATGTATATATATATATTTTTTTTTTCTTCTGGTGCTACGGCTTGAACCCAGGGGTGCTTAACCACCGAGTCACATCCCCAGCCCTTTTTATTTTAAGACAACATCTCACTAAGTGGCTGAGGCTGTGATCCTCCTGCCTCAACCTCCTTAGTTTCTGGGATTATAGGCTTGTGCTATCATTCTGGCCACAATCATAATTCAATCAAACTTTATATCATGGAGTAACCCTTTGGTGTTAAAATGTTTTTCATCTTAGTTCAATTGTTTGTCTTATATTGGCATTGCTACCCTGCCTTTATTTTGGTTAGTAGCTGCTTAGTATATTTCCATCTTTTTTTTTTTTTTGGTACCAGGAATATAACCCAGGGGTGCTTAACTCCTGAGCCACAATCTCCAGCCCTTTTTATTATTTATTTTGAGACAGGGTCTTACTAAGTTGATCAGGGCCTTGCTAAGTTGCTGAGGCTGACCTTGAACTTGTGATCCTCCCGCCTCAGCCTCCAAAGCTTCTGGAGTGATTATGGGTGTGTACCACTGTACCTGGCTATATTTCCATCTTTTAATTTTTTAAAATTTGTTTTTACATACTAGGGATTGAACCCAGAGGCACTTTACTTCTGAATTACATCCTCGGCATGTTTTTTTTTTTTTTCCAATTTGTGGTTCTTTTTTTAAAAGTTCATTATAGTTATACATAATATTGGGGTTCATTTTGACATATTTATATAAGCATGAAATATAGTTGACTCCAATTAAGTCTCCAGTATTTCCCTTTCTCTGCTCTCCTCCCTCCCCCTGTTCCCTTTCCTATACTCTACTGATCTTCTATTTATTTATAGTTTTTTAAAATTACTGTATTATGGATATACATAATATCAAATTCACTGTGGTCTATGCACATATGTATATAGGAAAGTTTGGTTAGATTCATTCCACTGTTTCTTTTCCTGTCCCTCCTCCCCCCTCAATCCCCTTTCTCTACTCCACTGATCTTCTATTTTCATGAAATGTCCCCTGACTTTCTTCTTTCTTTATCCATATTTTGGTCTAGCTCCCAGTTATGAGAGAAGAACATTATGCTAAGTGAAATAATCCAGACCCATTGACTTTTTGGGTCTGGATTATTTCACTTAGCATAATGTTCTTCAGTTTCTCTTATTTACCAGCAAAGGTCATAATTTCATGTTTTTTTTATCCCTGAGTAAGACTCCATTGTATATATATATATACCACATTTTTTTATCCATTGAACCCTTTTATTATTTATTTGTTTGTTTGTTTATGGTACTGGAGATTGAACCAAGAGATGCTTTGCCATTGAGCCACATTCCCCAGCCATCTTATTTTTTATTTTAAGACAGGGTCTCTTGCTAAGTTGCTTAGGGCCTTGTTAAATTGCTGAGACTGGCCTTGAACTTGCAATCCTCCTGTCTCAGCCTCCCAAATCACTGGGATTACAGGCATGAGCCACTGCACCCAGTTTATTTTTTATTTTGAGACAGGGTCTTGCAAAGTTGCCTGGGCTGGCCTCAAACTTGTGATTCTCCTACCTCAACCTCACAAGGAGATGGGATTACAGGCATGCACCACTGAGCCCAGCTGCAGTCTTTTGATTTTTAAAAAAATCCTTTTCTACCCTTACATCTCAGATGTCTCTTTTTAAAATTGCATACAACTCTGTGTGGTGTGGTGCTGGGGATTTAACCCAGGGCCTTGTGCATGTTAGGCAAGCATTCTACTGCTGAGCTGTATACCCCAGACCCTGGATTTTAGTTTTGCTCTTTTTTTTTTTTTTTTTTTTTTGTGGGTTCTAGAGATTGAACCCAGGGGCACTTAACCTCTGAGCCACATCCCCAGCCCTCTTTTTATATTTTATTTAGAGACAGGGCCTTGCTGAGTTGCTGAGGCTGTCCTTGAACTCAAGATCCTTGTGCCTCAGCCTCCCCAGCAACTGGGATTACAGACATGCACCACTGTGCCCTTGTTTGATGATTTTTATTTTTGTTTATTTTATTTCTTTTTACTTGTATATTGATTATTGCTTTGGTAGAAATAAACTCAAATATTTTATTTTAGGTTTTCTAACCCCTCTCCCCCAATTCTTCTCTATCTCTTTTCTTTTTTTCTACTTTCTTTTGGAATGATTGTGGTTTTCCCTTTATTTTTGTTGGGAAATTACATAATCTGTGCTCTTTGGTGTTTTTGTACTGATTTTAACATACTTACCTAAAGTGTAAGGATAACTGGTATCTTTATCTTGTATAATTCAAGGAACCTAGAGTGCTTTAACTCTGATCACATCCCTCAAAGTTATATGTTATTGTTTGGTATTTCTTCTCCATCCTCCTGTATGCACATAAAGCAGACATTATCTTTACAGTTGTTTATTTCCATTTACCTTCATATGTTTCTATTTTTTAAATATTATTTTAGTTGTAGAAGGACC